TTAGCTTTTTCATATTCCTTTACATGTCACTACGTTTAAATAGGTTGCCTTGGGACATTTTTTTCGTGATTTTTGTATTAGACCCGTCGTCCATTTATTTAAGTCAATGGTATAATGGGATTATTGTCAGTAGCAGTAGAGGTCCTTGTTTGTTTGAGAGTTCGTCCAAGGAAGTACTGCCACCTAACCTATTTCTGCCGCCAAGCAGTAATGTCAGTGTTACTGCCTTCCGGTTTTGAAGGGTAACGGCGCGTGTACACGCTAAGAAAAGTCGCCGGGTCTATGCAAGAAATCGTGTCGTTTCTACACACGAACTGTGTACACAGCCTCGGCGCCGGACAAGAAAAAATCTTTTCTACCCCCGACGCGACGCGTTCTGCCGCTATTGCGTGGTGCGCATTGTCAGTAAACGGCCGTTTATGCGCGTGGACTGATTTTGCTAAGTACCACAATCTATGTATGTGTGTGATCATTTCGAATTAAGTAGTCAACATATTTCTTCCTCTTTATTTCTTTTGACAGTCGGTAGTAAAACGACAGCTACCTCATCAATGCTGACACGTTTACCCTATACACGTCTGCCTGAAAGAATTCGTATCGTGTACATAGTCATCATTTTCTTGTCTGCAACAGACACGAAATATTTTCTTGGCTAGATTCGACAAAATTCTTATCGTGCACAAGGCCATTCTCGTTTTTTCTTTTGCAGACACGACAAATTTCTTAGCGTGTACCTACACGCGCCGTAAGGGTGCTAGTGAAATTACTTGTCAACTTGTCTCACGGTGACGGGCGCAGTGGTAGTGCCCCTCAGATCTTTGCAATTTAAAGCTCTGAGTGGCACTGTAACTGTTATGGACAGGCGTGTGGCTTACCATCACGCGCACGACTTGCTCGTCCCGTCACTTGATGTTATAAAAAAAAAATCACTGATAGATCGATTAATTGTCAAAATTCTTGTTTTTTTTTAAACACATATACTCATAGCACCGCACCAGGAAAACTACATCGCGGGTGCCATGGACACACATAAACAACCACAAATTACACTTTCTGTAGCTTGTGTCGGTATCAAATTAAAAGGTCTCATTAATGTTCACTGCAGTGTAACAAAGTGACAGATTGTATAGTTTGATATGCGGCAGAGTGTACCTTTCCAAGTGCGATGTGTCCTTTATTCTTGACTACAATATCGTGGAGTGTCTTCAGCATGAACGGGTAGTGGGTCTTCATGTTCTCTTCGTGCCTCTGCTTTTTGAGCTCTTCATTTTCTTCATACTCCACTGCTGCGGCCCCTGAAATTCAACGCCATTCATTATCATCAATTGTATTCGTATGACTGCCGTATCTTCTCTAAGGTTTTGGACCACGTCCGTCATGTTGGTCTCATGCAGATTTCGGGCCTTACCCATCTTCAGGGGTCCCCCCTTCCCCACAATGACGTACGAATCGTATTGCTAGGACATCTGGCGTACCCTGGCCAATAATCGGCATGTACGTTACACTGATTTGTACCTTTCACCGCACATCACACATGGCAGACACATCTCATGTACAGTTCAATATCATAATAAGAATATAATAATCACGCACACACTCAACATAGTCCCGCACTAGGCAAACCCTGTGTCGCGGGTGCCATGGACACACACATAGACAACCACAAATTACAACCCAACTCACGAGAGAAATAAATGTAGGCCATACAAATATTGCTCCCGGCCAGGGAATCGAACCTGGGACTGCGTGGCAATCCGGCATGATAACCCTTCGGCCACGGAGGCAGTTACATAAGTAGGATGGCAGCTACTTGTGGCGTGATCACCGTGGCTAAGTTCTATAATAATAGTGTAATACCATTAATACAATAGGAAGAGGTGAACCTTGTGCGACATGCAGATTCCACCACCTTTTATGGACAGGTGTGTCGCTTATCTGGTGGTAAGCGACACACCTGTCCACGACAGCTGCAGTGCCACTAAGAGCTTTAAAACATAAAGATCGGAGGGGCACTGCCACTGCGCCCATCACCCTGGGACAAAGTTGACAAATCCCATATGCCTGTAATTTCCTCCCTACCCTTGAAAACTTCTCTAGACGAACTCTTTTACAAGGAGCACTACTACTACAAATACCAGCATCGCATATTAATATCACAATAATTATGGAAGTATGATAGATAATGAAATTAAATGCCAGTTTGTATACATATAACGATACATTTATAAATGAAAAAAAATACATGAATTTGACACAAATAACAAACAGTACAGAGTACTAAAAAACCGACTTCAAAAGTCATTCATCCCCTAGTTTACTACCCTTAGAGGTGGAATATGTTCTTACCCACCCACACTTATTAGCGCAGAATCGCATTAAGCCGGACAGAAAAAGCTATATGTGACTTTATGTCCATGAACGTTAGTGCAAAGAAACCTTGTGCATTTCGCGAACGTAGTACAAGCGCGGCACGCCACAGGTCGGCAACGAATCGGCAACCTGCGAATTTCCGATCGCGTCCGTACGCATGCCGACGACGACTAATCCTGATTTAGAAACAACTAGCGCGGCGGCGCGCGAACGGCCGCGTTAACGGCGAATCGGCTTAATGCGACAAGTGTGGTTAAACACGATCGCATTAAGTCGCGTATATAATTTGCGGATAGCCCCCTTTATACAATCACTGTAACGAGCGTGATCAGGAGCTTGTAGATTTGCGCGCGGGAAAGCCTGCACGCGCAATCGCGCGCGATTAACTGTTTTAAGTTTTTTAAGCTAACGTTCTTTCAAGCGCGATTACAATTTCAAGGTTCGTTTTTACTAGAACGGAATAGCGTTCATGTAAACAGCAAACTTGGAACGCGCGATTGCGCGCGGGACTAATAAGTAGAGGTGGGCGTTTAAACGGAAAGCACTTTAAAAATTTTTCTATTTAAAATAAGCACATAAGCACGCTTTTCAATTTAAGCGTAAGCGTTAACAACGTGCTTATGTTTCATGTCGCGCCATCCAAGTTTTCTAAAGAAATTAATTCATCATTGTGAATAATATTTTTTTGATAAAAATAAAACTTATTTAACATAAAACCTTTAGTGGTCTACTCTTGCTTTTCACTATAATTACGACGTTGCAAGCTTTTTTCAACATAAAAGTCTACGCACTTAAACGTTTTTCTAAACGATTTTGTAATCTTCAAACTAAAAAGCGTTTAAGAGAAAAACGTTCAAAAAAACACGCTTTTTAAAAAAAAAGCACAACGTTTTAACGTTTAAAAAAATAAGTAGTTTTTCCCATCTCTACTAATGAGTGCTATCGCGCTGTCTTTTCCTTCCACATCTTTACACGCGCGCTCATTCACGCACGATTGCTGTATCACGCGCAAGAGTCTCTGAGTAACGCGCTTTAGTGTGCGTTTGTGCATGGCGCGCGACAGGCGTGCACACACACAAGCCGCGCTGCTACGTTTGTATGGAGCTACATTACTTGCCTCATCATGCTATAAGGCCTTTTACATTCCTCAATTTTACGTTCGTGTTAATAGTTACCGCAGTTGCAATAAACGCGTTGTATTGTTACTCACTGTTTCGCAAATCTGTATAGAAGTCTACGTTCTGATCGATCTCGAAATCTTCCTCGATGTTGTCGCCGGCCAGGCCGTACTTGCGGCCGAGGTAGCGCGAAATGGCCACGCTCTGAGCGTACTTCTTGCCGTTTATTTCCAGTACCGGCATCTGCCCGAACGGCATCTCTGTAAGCATAGAAAAAAAAATATAATAAATAAAAATACTTTTGAAAAATCTCCTGAATGCGTTCATGAATAATTGTCTAATTATTATTATTATAATAGCAGAATTCAATTCAAAATCGCTCATTGCTATTAGATTCAGAAACTCGTTATTGAAGCAGTGGAAACGCTCTATCCTAATTTCCTACTACTTACTCGGTTTGAAGTCGGGCCATTGTTCTTCAGGCACGCGATGGTCTTCAAACTCCTGACCACCGTACGCCAACAGCATCCTGGGGCCCTCACCCAGAGCCTTCAAGGGGAAATAATGTAAGACCACCTTCGACATCTTTCTGTAAGACAAACGAAATTCTCCTTATTCTTTATATCCAATGAAAGGCGATCCATGTTTCCGATACTACCTCCTTGGAATTCAATTTTTGTACATAATAATACGAAAAAATATATATATCGTACACTGTGTGTTCTATTTAATCCCGTTGATATAAAAAAAAAACAACAAAACAGGTAATGTAAATAGCGGTAGGTAAGTTTTCTTGTAAAATTTCGAAGTAAGTTTTTGTTTTTTTTCTATCGTAAAAATTTTCAGGAATCGTGTTTTCACACCATATAGTAATCAGTGTATATCCTTAATTTTACTATATATTTTTTCCAAACACTTTCACTGTCATGCGGAATCAACCAAAGCCATTTGAGGGTCTTAACTCTTTGCAAAAACGAAACACAGTATTTATAAAAAAATAATAAAGAAAAGATGCTTCATGGATTTATGCCGATACCGTAAAACCTATATTTAAAAAAAAAACGCTGCTGCACCGGTGCTTAAAAGAGTATAAATATTTTTGTTACCTCAATGAGGCTCAATGTTTATCATTTTAGTTCCTTGACAACTCACAACGCGTGATCACGTCTAAAACAATACAAACTAGCGTTTGGTCAAAAGCACCTTCGTCTGACAATTATAACAACTATTACTCGATTGTATTCTTACGCGTTAGCGATTGTTACAAATTTGAAATGAAACTATTTTTTCGGATCTAAATTATTGCTTATTTGTTGAACAGATAACAAATAAGTATGATACTCCATATTTAATAAAACTTGAATGAAAAATTTAGGGTACATTAAGAGGGAGCATGCCAAAACAGTTTTGACGTTGGCTCCGCCCAAATTTGTGAAACAAATATATGCCTGAAGTTCGCGTGACATGCGACAGGAGATGTTGAATTTTGCGCATTAAAAGTACCAAATTCGTTTTAGCGGAATAACTCTATAACTAAAGGGATTAAAAAAAATCCGTAGTGACAGTTCTCGATCATGCATTTGTCCTAATAACCTGTAGCATTTCGAGGATGAATCGAAAAAATGTGAAAATTAGAAGTCATTTCGTGATTTTTATATATCGAGGAAACTTTATTGTTTTATGTTTCGGATTAGTGTCTATTCTTTAGTTACTCACACAATATTTTATTTTTAACTTTAAAGTGGATATACCCCTCTAAAATCAAATCGAAGATTAGGAATTTTTCCTCTGCTCCCTCTTAACTTAATTCACCTGAATTAGTTCACCTAGGTGCATTAAGTACACTTTTAGTAAACTTAAATCGGAAGGACTGTACATTACCATAGCACGATTTGGCGGGGGGGACCCTTCGTGCAAAGTTTCAAAGTTAGGACGTTAATAGTTTTCGAGATATTCATTCTTAAAAATTCGAAAAAAATAACCTCAAAAAATCATGTTTTCGCACCAAAGACCGGGGTTTACCCTCCCCCGAGCCCCTAGCGGGAAAAATAAAACATTAAGTATATAGTTTAAAATACATTTATTGTAATCAACATACAGTACATTGCATAATTACATGATAACGAAGGGTTAACAACATTTTCAAAATTACAGCAACATAACATTTCAAATACTAACATTTGCCTTAACCTATGTTAGTAAAGCCTTAACCTATGTTAGCATTGTTAGTAAAGCCTTAACATATGTTATGTAATGTTAGTACCTATTCTATTCTATACATACACATTTTATTGCTTTTATTAATTCCTCAAATGGATCTCTGTGAAAAATTAAATTTTTCCTCCGCCAGGAATATTCCACAAGCCAGTTGCTAAACTCTCGTTTGTGTTGATCCTTGTGGAATTGTCGTTTTAACACTCTCCAGTGACTTTCAATACGCTGTGTGCGTGTCCCATCTGGTGCCACAAATCTATTTTCAGGCTCACTATGATTCACTTTCTTGTGTATGTAGCCATGCTGCGGAAGGCAATCGTAGGCTCTCCAAAAATCTGTATGTACTATAGAGCCTTCTGCAACATGTTTTTTAATCAGTGGCACCAATACTTCAGCTGATCTCTCGTTGTTGGGACACACTTCCAGCCTTAAGTTGCCACTCCCATTTTCGATCATCCCGAGGACCCAATGACCTTCCACATATCTTCCACTGTTATATTTCCTTTTTCCATATTTCGATTCATCTAATTGTACTATTTTGTTCGGTCCTCCAAATTTAGTATCATATTCTTGATGTTCAAGTTCATATATTATAATTGTTTCATGACAGTAACTGTACCAGTCCGCAATCGTCTTAGTCGATATTACAGTTTCCTTTTGGTATGAGGTCTCCCTTTGCACTTGATCGTAAGAGTAGCCTGTGCTGAACATGTACATTAATTGATACATCAATGTTAGCGATAAACATGCATTTTCAAACCAAGTTCCCTTGATACGAGACTCTACTTTTCCACGGCATTGGGACTTGTGGCACCTGCAATAGGAACACATAAAAATTTTGCTTACTAAACTACTAAGGCCCACGTAGTTTCCGGGTGGACTCCACTTGCTCATTCGCTTGAGCATAAAGTGACTTATTATATGATTACTTAATGTTAAAGGATCCACATTAATACTGAGCAGGTTCCTCCTTAAGAGGAATCTAGCTTATGAGGGAATAAATAAAAGTTAATGAGGACTTCAATTAAATTATTTAAGTTTAAGTATTGTTGGACACTTTGGCTTAAGCTGTAAGTACAAAAGAATGTTTTCTTTATAAATAAATAAATAAACATAATTATTTACCTGAAAGCTCCCAGTTCACCATAGGCTGCCGATCTGTTAATGTGCATAGGGTTTCGATGGCGAGGACACTTTTTTGAAGTTAGAACAAGTCCTCTCTGTTCAGAGAACTCGACACATTAGTCTTGAGTGCCGAGTTCGTTAAAGACCCGGTGCAGGCACCATTGTCCACGGATCTCATCCGCATATAAATGTATTCGTCTTTCAGACGAACCACTGGGTGGCGCTGAGGAGGGGCCGGGTTGCGGGCTCCGGTCCGATTGCGCGGTAGATGGCCCATGACACAAGTGGCTTACTAGAGGCCAACACTTGCTCAACCGTCGGCGATTCACTGCATACAAGCGGCTCATTAGAGTTAATCACTTGCACGCACTGAACTGAAGATTTCGATTTTACCAGAAGGGGCTCACTGGAGGCACTTGCACTAAACTCGACTCTTCAGGGGACGCCATAGTCAATGCATGATTCTAAACAGGAGTACGTAAAACAATCTAACTGCGAGGCGGACAAAAATTAACTGAATTAATTATATCCAGTGTTGCCGTTGTACATAATAGAAAGTCCCTACATGGTCAGAAATTTTCCGCTAGATTTAGGTAAAAATAATTTCCTAAAATCCGCTAGATGTCTCTAAGAGTACAGTTGCGTAGATTTTGAGTCTTTATAACATTTTTTACACACATCAGTCAAGTGGTCAATCTGACGAATTGAGCTATGTTCGCGATATACAGTGCGTTAGCACACCCCGCTCTTGCACAAAAGTTGCATACATTTACAGTCCTTGGAGAAAATGACAATAGAATAGACAAGAAATTAGTTCGCATTTTTTTGTTTTTTGTTTCTAAATGCTTTTTCAAGTCCCTAATTTTTGCGTAAATTTCGCAGTGGTAATAACTACAAAATGCTTATCACCTGGTACTGGTTTCAAACAATGTTTGAACTCTTCGTACTTGTCCCTTTCGCTTCTATAACTCTGTGCGTACGCTTTTTTTTTGGTGGTACCCATAGATTTAGTATATCCATAGATTGGCCCTGACGTATTGGAGACGAGACCAAAACAAAAATACATCTGTGTGCGTATAATGTGCATGTGTGCAAGATAAATAGTGTTGCGCCATCCACTGATTTAACTTTAATATCGATTAACATATTACACCGGCATTTTACTTCGTTGTATTCACCAAAATGTCTTAACGCAAAATACCGAGACGTTAATTAACTAGTTAATTAATGATTCAATAGAAAATTAAGAAAGCTACTATCACCTTCTGGTAGTGCCACAGGATGGTAGGTAAACAATGGGGACTTTCACCCAAGATAACACTATGGCTCTACAAAATGGTGATAAGACCCATGATCAGTTACGGCGCGATAGTATGGAGGCCACGAACCAAGCTGACGACCGCAACCTACAAACAAATATAACTATTATAATATTGTATGATATGATAACATAGAAGTGCATCACAGCAGTGAATTTGCAGATAAGTAATAGAACCAAAAAACCGGCCAAGTGCGAATTCAACTCGCGCGGAGAGGTTTCGGTACAAACTTAACATTGTAGTTGAAGAATATGTTCTCCAATAGATTCCAACAGCATATATAGGTTTATTCGCGCAATAGTAGGAAATTTAAAGACAATTTCTGTATTTTTTCAAAACTTTAGGCTCTGTAGTTTCGAAGATAAAGGGTAGAATGATCAATTTTTGTCTATTTTCTTAAACAACTTAAAAATATTTATATTTCATAATTACAAAAAATATATATTCTTAAGAACTTTCCCTCCCAATAGTGACTTAAAAATTTAGAATTAATTTATTTACGTTGCACGTTTTGGTCACACAAATGAATATGTGTACCAAATTTGAAAAAATCAGTATCGTATTTTGGAACAGAACAGAACTCTAACAACAATAAATCGCTGATTTCTTGTTGATGAGAGTAGTGCTACACAAAAATCAATTAATTGTAAGACATACCGCATGAATAATGTGGGTACAGAACCAGAACGTAGCTTTACTCTTTGCTTGCCTCTAAAGGCAGTATTTAAAAGCATTTTTCCTCAAAGTGTTTGTTTGCTGCATATTTTTGAAAACTTTTTGGAAAGTCTTCTTTCTTTAGCTTTATAAGCCATTTCTGTCGTACTTCAATGTTTTGAGGAAATCTGAATCAACAACAATAATTAACATAAAAAATGGGTGCCTCAACTATGCTATTAAAAGAAATTTTCGTTTTAATGTAAACAAAATATAATGTACTAATGCAATATTAATTAAATATAAAGTACTAAATCCAGAAATTTCTGATTCAATAAATAAAAAAAAATTAAGTATGAAGATGATTTCGGCTGTATGCAAGTCACGTCTTTGCCTTTCTTTTTTTCAGTTAATGACATCTCGATAACATATTATCGATTGCGTCAATCTCTATGAAAGTGGGGTTATGAATTTCAGAAATTCACGTATTTGATATATTTTTTAATTGAATTCGTATACATTTGGGTTATTAATGCACTTGAATGGTATCATTTTACGGATATATTTAAGTAAAAAACTTTTGTGGTAGTGCTTTTAGACGGCTAAAAATTGAAATAGTACTTACATGTGAAATGTACAATTCTGCGAGTTTTCCTTTTTAGATAAGTTACATCCGGACACTGAAAACTTTACAATGACTAATAAACGTCCGTTTAACACTATTTCACATTTTAAAACCAATTATTTTTCAAAAATAAACGAAATTTGTTTCGTTGTCAGCTGACCCTAGGTTCATATAGCCTCATAGCTTATAATGAAGTGGTCTCGTATACCCATCTCGTTCTAACATACGTGTATACTAACTCTCTTTCACTTGCATTGCCAATCTATGGGTACCTATATACTAAATCTATGGTGGTAACAGACTCCCAGGTCTTTCGGAAAAGTAGCTCAAATGTTCTTAATGCAGTTTCTGTTGCCAAGAAAAATATATCCCTACTATAAAATCCCAAAACTCTAAACTCCATAATTAACTACGCAATGGGTTTTTGTCTCTTGAAGTATCCGTTTGTTGAAATATTTATTAGTTACACTATAATAGGTAGAATTGTTGTGTAATCGTCTGACCACGCGATATTATAACATAGCTGCTAATATTTTTACGCGATGCTTTATTATTTACTTACATTTTTCACTTTTTGCGTCTAGTTCAGTAGATATTTCACATGACGACTGGATGCGTTTGATGTCCTAAAATTATAAAATATCAACTGTTTTCTAATTGTTACAGCCGTAGTAAACATCTCTATACGATAATACGTTACTCCTAATGAATAGTAGTAAAAGTTATATAAAGGGTAAAACGAGCTTTTATACTTATAGTAGCGTTCATATCCGATTAATCGTAACATCCTATACAGATCTCATACCGCCCTAAGAGGACGAAACCTTCAACGGAATGTGGCAAAATAAATATACCTGGCATCAGGAAGTGTGTATGCGTAACCGCTTCGGTCTCTGTGATAGTAGACAGGTGCGCCGTATTCTGCGTCGCCGGGCCAACTCTCCCAAAACTTTAATATTATTTTTTTTAAATAAGAATAACAATACATTTAATGCATAAGTATAGGTAATTACATAAGGTCTTAAAATATTACATTGGT